TAAAAATATCGATGTACTAAAAAAAAGTGAGACCCCTCCTCACATAAAATTCAGGTTCCATCACTACTAACACATTCATATAAACCATACAATTGTATTTCAGTACGTCACAATAAATTCTCAAAAATTCCAAATAATCCAATATGAGACTTGAGCAAATAATAAACTAATCAATCCTTTGATGACCCACCAAATCCTCACCTAGCTATAAGATAGCAATCGACACTTTTAATGCAACTAGTTCATTCAAACCCGCATCCCACCGCCATGATTTCTTCATTGCTATGCACAATCTTAGAACACCACACAGCATTTGTAACACATATTAAGCATGTTTGCTCCGGCATTAGCCATCCATTGTGTTTGTTTGGTCAAGAGCCCCAACCGCGTGACAAGCCGACACGTGTCGATACCATGTGTACATAGGCCTGAGAAAATACGATCCCCGTGTGTATGTAGCAATAGGAAGTACGAACCTCCCCGCCGTCCTAAACCCCCCATGTAACCTCGCAAGCTTCTCACCAATCACGAACTTCCACGTCGGCAAATGGGATTCACTTTCCATTTATGGACTTTTCTCTTCCCTAGATTTAGACCGTATAAAGAGAGAATCGAAACGAGCCCCCTATTTTAATGTTAAGGACTTCCGTTGTGGGATCAACTGCAGCTGGTCCTCCGTCTACGTGGCAGGTGGGGGGCCCACTGGGAGATTAACTGGACGATAGAGGAAGGGTTGTACGGAAGGACAGCGCCTTGGGGAAAGAGTAGGGTTTGGGGTAGTTGGCTTGGCTTGTTGGTTGGGAGACGTCTTTGAAACCACATACATTTTGTGTTAATTAGAGCATTTTCAAAGAAGACGTCAAGTTCAAAACATCAAATTTCAATTTGATGACTAACTTAACAATTTGACATACTGTCAATATTTCACTTCTATCCGATATGTCAAAATTTATTGCTTCATTTATGTTTATTTTAAACAAAAATAATAAAATTTAGGTTGTTATTGGTTTAAAAATAATAAAATAATACTTAAATGTGCTAGCATTTAAGGTGAGGTAAGTGGAATGCCTTTGGAAATAGCAAAAACCATATTTGAAAGCAGGTTCAAATTTGACATCTCTTTATCCATGTCAGTTTAGCCTTCTTTTACATGTCAGTTTTGACATCTCAGTTGAAGAAAATAGTATGTCATTTGTTACTGTTATATGCCTATGTGGCATTTTTTTACATCTCCTTTGGAGATGGTCTTATATATTGTGCGTAAAAAGTTTTTTACATTCATTATAGTATTATTGGTATAAGATGTCACGACAGCTGTGTATCTATGCCAGCTAAGTTGTTCTTGTCGGGAAGAGAAATGATTTTTGCAATCATTTTTCATCTCATGTACACTTTTTTCTCGCTGGAGCACATTTTTTGGGGCCAAGGGCAGTTCAAACCAATCGCTCTTGCAATTCGGTGACTTTATGATCTTAGTTGGCCTCGTTGGGTTGGATATTTTATACAATATCCCCACCTTGACGTTTTCTGCTAAAGACACAACTGTATGTGAAAAAAAAAAATTTATATACTTTGTAGCATTATTAGCACAAGACACTACGATAGCGGTTGGAGGGAGGGTGAAGTTTGGCTGGGGTTGGCACGTGGGAGTGTTGATTATATTTTGTTAAATTTTGGGTATTAATTATATGTTGTAGTTATCGGTGTTGCTGGGTTTGGACAGGCACGGTGGATTATAGGGTTCTGATGAGAAGATTGTGCCCTGCATAGAATGATTGTGGAGGACCCGGCCAAATTACACTCTTTGGGACCACTTCACACGTGTTTGCTTCACCCTCCTACTACTTCTGCATTAATTATATGGAAAATAGATCCTCTTCGGATCTCTTCCTCTAAAGCCAGATCACTTGATTCGCAGGCCTTGGAGAAAGAGATCCGGAGATGATCTTCTTCCAATTATATGATTCTTTTGCGGGTTTAATTAGTGTTAATTATATGCGTATCTCGCTCATTATGTTACCTATCATCATAATAACATTTAACGATTAATATTTCGTAATCAAGTTTATGCAACAATATAAATAATAAATAAATAAACTGCAAACCATATACAGAAACAAGAAAATTCTAAAATCACATCACGTAAATCTTATTAAGCGCTTATGGTTAATTAGATTTTGTCGTTAGCTTAAATGGTGAACGACAATGATAAAGTAGGTTAGAATTAAGCTGTGTTAAGAGTTTGAATTCCTTTAATGTTTAAGAAAAAACATTACTCAAACATGTCTTTATTAAAAAGAAAAGTTGACGGAGCATTTGGATTTGATACATTTTTGGTTTTTGTGTTAACAAATTAAGGCATTTATAATACATAGGTGCAATGTTAATTTAGGACTCGAAAGATTTGGGGACCGGAGGGGTCGCCTCCTTAGGTTTCCCTCCGGATTAGCCTTCGTATTAGATAAACTCGAGCAGATTTGTGCGCCTGTAGAAATTGAAGCTTCGAACATAGTTAATTTATAATTCATAACTTGTGTTACAACTTACAACTAGTCCTCCTTTTGCTCTTACAAATAGATAACTGATCATAGCGTTCTGCATAGTTCGTAAAAATGCCAAATAAAAACAATAGATTGCGATGATGAGCCCTTTAAAAATTTTGTTATACAAATTTAATGGGTGGCCTTGATGTTTCCTAGTGGTTGCCAATCCATATGAAAACCAGAGAGTAGAGCAACTGTTGGTTCTGGCTTTTATGCAACTTGTGTAAGACCTAACCATTTATGCACAAAATACCCTAAAGATCCCACCCTCCATTCCTCCTCCTCCCTCTTACATATTATGGGTAGTGTTATCAATACACGTTTTTTATTTTTCACATACCTCTCTCAATTTTCAGTCAGCCACTTAATACTATAGTCTAGTGATATTCCTCTTCATTTGTAAGATAGAGGTCTTTAGTTCGATTTTCACCAAACACGAGTTTGAACCACATTATTGCTTACCCATTGTGTGAGGCTAAGTCCACCCATTCCTTTTAGTATAGATAATATCGTTTGTTAAAAAAAATTTCAGTTGTCGGATCAAATGATTTGAAGAAGATTAAATGACAAAAATTAACAGAAAATATGTGAAAAGTAAAAATAAGTGTGTGGATAGCATCATCCCATATTATTTGTACAACCATAAAAGGTATTGCTACTCACACACACACACACACACACCTATTTTACTTCTCACACATTACTCTCAATTTTCAATTGTCAAATGAAATAAATTGAAAAAAATCAACGACGGAAATTAACAAGAATTATGTAAGATAAAATTAAGTGAGTGAAGAACACTGTCAAACCATACATTATTGGACCACAGTCCACAGGAGAGGACTCAGAGGAGATATAATTATTTAGATCTCAATCTCTCAACTGAGATTCGGTCTCTTTCCTCTGTGTCTTTCACCTGATTTTACCATATGGCCCTCAACAACCTCTCCAAAGGGGTAACATTGTCATTGTGTATCCCCAGCCGCTGTTTAGGGGCAGTCCTACATACGACAAGCATGGCAGTACATGCAGATTTAGGACATGTCTTACACTGTGGGATTTGTATGGAGGGACCGGATGAGGCAGCATGCCAAATGCTAGGGTGAATCTGGGCCGTCCATGGAGGACAAATATGTGCAACAAATATTCGGTTTTCTGTGGCATTTATGTACATTTTTGTGTATTTTTTGCATATATGTGCAGATGAAGAAGAGGTCCCTGTCATCTGTTATTTGTGTTGGCAATTGCAAGATTTCTGTACAAAACAAAACACTCTGACTTAAAAGCAAAATATGTCCCTAGCTCTCTAGGTCCCTAAAATATTATTATTTATTAAATTAAGCAATATGACTATTTAATTTCTAATTTCAAGAGATATTTATAGTTTCTGTTTTGACAAAATCTAAATTAACTATTAGTTTTGATTTTGAAATAATGTAATTCCCTATTGCGGTCGGAAAATATGGATGGTTCTTATTTTTTGTTCGAACAGTCTGTATATGGTTTAAGAGTAAATTGTAATAATGGTTCTGTAATTTTAATTAAATTGAAGCAATAATCTTTTAACTAAAAATCTTATTTCATTGGTTCCTCAACTCATCAAAACGTATAACTATGGTCATTTTTGTCAACTTCATCAGAATTTTGTCAAAATGAACTATATTGGAAGAATCATTGCTATAATTGGGTTAAAGTTGAGGGACCATTTCTCCATTTGGGTTAAAGTTGAGGGACCATTTTTCCAGTTGGATTAAAGTTGAGGGACAGCTGGTAATAAATTTTTAGTTGAGGAACTATAGCTGTACGTTTTAATGAGGTGAGAGACCAATAATAATGAATTTTTAGTTTAAGAATGTTTTCTGATCATCGTCTTCTTTCTTTCTTTTTGACAAGATGATATTTTAAACTAATCTAATATACATAAAGCAAATTCAAATTTGGTGAAAAACTTACATGAAACTGATTCACTACCATGTGACGTCTAAATTCAATAATACATTGTCATGTAAAGAAAAACATACACATGATGCATTGTTGGAAAGGGATACCATGTGACGGTAAACCCGTAACCCGTTTAATATAAATCATTATTCAAACTTGAGTATAAGGAGACGGACAAGTACATTGCCTAAACCCCAAGGTTTAGTCAAGGGACAAAGAAAAGAGGTAAAATGAAAAACCCTTGGGTTAAGCAAGATTCTTTTTCCTTTCTCTCTCCTAATTTGGAAAACTACCAATTTGGGCAGCAAGATTCTTCACTTCTTATCTTCTCTTCTTCTCCTTATGTGGAATACGACCCACAGAAATAAGGGAGGTTTCTGCAGCAATAGACTTTAAGAGAGAAATCATCTGAAAGTAGGAGATGTTTGTTTGCTCCCACAGCTAGCAAATGCGAGTAACGATTTATCTTTTGAGACCAAAATACCAAGAAAAGTTGAATTTCAACAACTCCATTAATGGAAATTAAGATGACAAATTTTTATTTCAAAATGGTGGGATAAACTAACATCTCTTAAGTTCCCTACCTAAGTGTATCCGCGTAGATATACAACATAGTTTATGTACAAAACTCGAGGGTGTATGATGCTCACGCGCTATAAAACTTTACCTATATTTACATATCCAAAGTTGGTTTTGCATAAGCGACACTCTTAGGGAGGTTGAATGACGCACACAACATCCATTTTCCTGGTGCAACAAGGCGTACCCTACGCATTTCTACATCAACTGCCGCTTCTGAGAGCGCAATTCTTATTCTCTGCATTAGTTGGGGAAAAAGAAAGGATGAGGTAAGAGTTAAAACTTGATGAAGGTAAACATTAAGAAATAAACCGAATAACACAAACACGTGAGTATTTGGCACCGTACCTGATGAAAGTCAAACTCCGGATCTTGAGCTTTGGAGAATCCATAAACATGGATCATTGGCAAGGTAAATTCTTCTTCCGTTGGTCTATCTACTAATATTCCCCGAAATGCATCTGTTCATAAGGTAATTCACATAGTGAGTGAGAAATAGGAGTCTACAGCAATCCAAATTGAACAATTTCAGAAACCAACTGATCTTATCGTCAACTACTCTTTCAAGCACAGTAGAGCAAAAGTGGCCATCAACTAAGGCGTCTCTTACTTCAATAGGTTCTAGAAAAGTGAATCCCTAGATAATCCAACTAGCCCAAAATATAACCCAATTGCCCAAGAACTAGGTGATCACTCTATTTAGTAACAAAGAATTAGTTAGTTTTCCCTTCCATCCTTCACGTATCACTATTGCAAGTTGACAAGCGGAAAAAAAAAAAAAAAAAACTGTCACAAAGTATAAACGAGTAACTACACAAACCAATAGTTAAAGGGATGAAAATTAATTGCAATCAATAAGTAAAAAGGGAATAAGTCCAACACACCAAGATACTCCGCAGCATCATTTGGCAAATTCATTACCACTTGAGTTATAGACTTAGCTTATCACTTGCAAACATAGCACCAATGAACCTCCTTCCATCCATGTTGAAGACCTAGTGAGTGGTAAACAGTTCACAGATCCTTAATGAAGCATACCATTTTATTCTTCAAGTCAAACATCCATATAAAAATAAATAAATAAATAAATCACAGGGAAAATTTGTTGCTAACGTGATCAACCATGCTAGATATGGGGCATAGGAAGGGAATGGCTACTGGAGAGTCTACAAAATAACAATTAAAGAATAGAAAGTTTGAAACAATTTGATGAGTGGGTGCAGTTACTAACTCACAAAATCTGCTATATTCATAAGCTGGTGAATTTACAATACAATTAACTTATAGATTTGTCCTTTTTCCTTTGATCAACCAGAACTATTCGTACCAGTTTAAAGTCCAAGCTCTGCGAGAATTTTAATCAATATACAAAACAGATTGTGTTTACTAAGATCTGCACCAAATAAGCTAACAAGTATTGCATCACTAATCAAATTAAACTCATCAATATTTGGCCAGTTTTTTGTTAGAATCTACATGCTGCACCTTCTTTTTTTTTTTGGGAAAAAAGTTGTGCGTGTATCTCTCATGAATCCTCTCAATCAAAATATAAAAAGAAAAAAAACAACTGTTTTCAGATACTATCATCATACTGCAATTACATCTTTCATAATCATACCTTAATCTTCCTTTCAAGTTTGTTGATCACACTATTTCTTTCCAGATATTCAATTGCGTTGGGATTCAAATCATTGGCATATACCCGTTTCACAATCCTTGCCGCAGACATTGCTATTGGGCCAACCCCAGTGAAAACATCACCTGTCAACAGCAAAGAAATATTGACATTATCTAAGGCCCAGGAAGACACCCTCCGGAAAAAAACAAGAAAAAAAAAGAAGAAGAAGCAATATAGACATTATCAAAGGCCCAGACAGTATAAAATATCTTTTAAGATGCACAGGACGTGGACATACACACAACATCTTTCCGTGTAAAGCTGTTTACAAGCCTTTGTCTTTCAGTTGCAAGCCTGGAATTCCAATACCTGCACCAAAAGAAACATGAGACTGTGATCCTTGCCAGTCATTCATTTTCATAAAATAAACACCAGCTACTACTTAGAACAAAAGAAAGGAGGAAACACTAAGTCATTGAAATAATTTAAGCACAATGATTATGGTTCACATTAATTTCACCTCTGAATCTGAGTTTTTATTTACAACTATGAATAATAATGATCTTCTAGTCAATTTGCATCTATACACTAACACCCCAGCACCCGAAAAAAAAAAAAAAAATAAAAAAATAAATAAAAAAAAAACCTGCCCCAAAATCTACAACCAAACCAACTTTGGCGTAGACTAACATCATGATCCCAACTATCTTGTCCCATGTCCATAAACAAGGGCCTAGCAGTGTGAAATAATAAACTCACGAGATAGGGGATGAGAATGTTATCAACAAAATATCCGAATATTACACAGTAGCATAATTAGCATAGAATCGATCAGTTTCCCGTTAGTAAGACAGTCATTCAAAAACTCAATTGGAGTTTTCATTTTCTTGCAAGCTAAGGAATGGAACATACACTGTTGCTAGGTCAACATGAAAGCGCAACCCATTTTCAACTACAGTAGTCACAAGGGAACGATTCCCAGCTAGAACTTCGAGTTGCATTGTTCTGAAGTCATTATGAATGGCATCAATTTTATTGACAACCGTCTGAATCTTTGGTTTATTTTTATCAAGAATCACCTGTAAAAAGGAAGGATTTCTTCCCTGATTAGTGAACACAGTGATTGAGCAGCAAATTAAGAAAATGGAAACTGAAAGATATTAAAAAATTGAGTACCTTTGCTATAAGCTTTTTGTATGGTAAATGTTCATCTCTCAGGTTTAGGTGTGCAATATGCCCGACAGTTTCAAAGGCTGAAGGAACAATCATACCTTCAGGCAGCAAAGCCTCCAATATCTGCCAAAAAAGTTAAACCCACTGATTTTTTTTTTATCTTTCAGCACTATTTGGTGCATCACATATATCCGATGTACACATTCAATCATAAATACATTCCTTAAACAAAGTCTTTTCAAAGTCAATCATGGAATATAAGAGCGTACACAGAAGCTAAGCATGAAACATTCAACTGATGTGCATAAGTTTTTGGACCGAAATTAACCAGTACACGATATAAAAACTCAGAAAAATCCTTCAAATGAGGAACAAATTAGCTAGTTTTTTCCGTTCAATTAGGTTTTTTAGTTCAACTTGGTGTCAGCGTAAATAAAACTGGGTTACTGCCACAGCAGATGGAAGTAATGTGGAATAAGAAAATAAGTAGCAGACTTAATAAACACACCTAAGATATCCTTGGTTGAAATACCTCATTCATCTGCCAGTACTCATAAAAAACAGTCAGTTTGCATCTCACAAGCTCAAAAGCCGGCCTCATACTTGTCCCGGTATTTTCTTTCATCGCCACCTAAAGGATAGGGCACGAACATTTGACAATAGAATATGGTGTCACAAGCCAATGTAATATAAGGCCATAAGGGAAATAAGTCATGTAACGCACCAGAATTTACAGAGAAAAATCTTCCATATACAGGAAATTGGATTGAATGTTAATTCCCCTGCCTAGCAGATGCAACAAAATCACAAATATTTGTCCAGGCGTATCATGCATCAGACCTAACCAAAAGATAATTGGGGATCTAAGGGGACCCTTCCATTTAAATGGCCATGATTCACAGCTCCCTTAAATGGGTCAAGACTACCCTTAAAACGAAAAGTCATACAGACAACAAGAACACCATCTTGCAAGGTCATAAAATAGTGTGTCTTGCAACAATCAAGAGCAACAATTTAACTTAGATTCTTTCAAAAGGTTCCTAACAAGGTAAAGAATTCCCATATGCTACTGACTCTGCCCGAGGGAATGCTTCACATTTTCGGATCATGAGCCTGTCCCATTACGCAAAGGCAAAGAAACACTCTTTTCTAATACAAAGCCTACCAAAGCTGTAGAATTTCCAATCACATTACAAGAACAAAAACTCACTACCACTCGTAAGTTAGAAACGAAAACTAATAGATACTATTCGAATTCAATATGCAATTGTGAATCAAAACAACACCTTGATTGCCTCAGGCAACTCCTCCACCCCTTTTTTCGCATATCGCTCATCCAATAGCAGCAACCGTGTGGATCCTCTCCATTTCCTCCTGCCCTCAAACTCATCCCCCAACAAACCTTTCAAGTCCTCCCCTTCTCCTTCACCCTCTTCGTCATCCACAACCTCCAGCACCGAAAACTCGCTCTTCCCCCATCTCTTCTTCCCTTCATCGCCTTCACCTTCCTCATCCCCCCTCTTCTTCCTCTGGTTCGGCCTCGACATCCTCGCAAGGTTTCGGAACTTCACGTACCCCCGCGAATCGAACGTCTTCGCAAGCTTCTCCCTGTACAGCACCGGACTAAAGGGCTCGCCGTCGCCCTCCGCTTTCCCGTACATTCGGCGATTCAACGAGGCAAGGGCATTTTCGTCTTCGAGGTCTCTTCCCTGATTGGCGAGAAGCTCGGCGAGCTCGGCTTCCACCTCGTCGCCGGGGACTCTGCCGATGTTGCGAATGCGAGGCCAGTTCAGCAAGTGGCCCCGGAGTCGGCTCTCGAGGGCGAAACAGTCTTTTGCAGGGACTCGAAGCGCCGCGATGTCGAAAACCCTACTGAAGCTCTCTTCGTTGAACAAATCGCCGTCGTCGTAGTCGTCCTCGGTTTTCGTGAAGGGAGGATGAGACCGGAGAGTTAAGGGGTGGGTACCCTTGCGCAGGGAGGGTCCGTAGAAGTTCGAGGAATTGTTTGGGTTTGAAATTTGGGTATGGGTTTGAGCGGCGGCGGTGGCGGAGAAGATAGAGACGATGAGGAATCTTTTGGGGAGGGAGGGTATTTTGGGGAAGATGAGGAATTTTGAGGGGAGAGTGGAGAGGGGAAGAGAGTGAGGTGGTCTGAGAACGAGCTTGGCCACCATTGTTGCTCAGTTGATTCTGTTTTGCCGGGAAATCAGAACCCAACCCAGATAAGTGGCAATTGAGGGTTTAAGATACGTGCTTACGCACGTGAAGGCTTAATCTAAAATCACTATTCGTATTCTTGTTATATTTAAAATTTTTTCAAGCAGATCCTTTTCGAATTTATATCTCAGAGCCTAACGATCAAAAAATTTTGGCCTTTAAATTTTGATCTTGCGGCCAAAAGCTATTGTAGCTTTCAAATTTTTTTACTAACTTATCTACTTTTGATAGTATGATCAAAGTTTAAAGATCAGAATTATTTGATCTTTAGGACTATGGAGGTATAGGTCCGGAGAGGATCTGCTTCGGAGAAAAGCACACAAACCCATCAATTACATCCATGTTAGTTTAGTTACTTAAATTAAAGAACTGGCACTTTGCATAAGCTATACAATAATACGATTCGTGCACTTGCAAGGTTGAATTCGATTTGATACAAGTTTTTGGAGAACAATTGAAACAAAATAAATTTATACAAGCTAGAGATTAGTTTATCTCTAATATGATCTTCTTATAAAAACAAATTAAAAATAAAAATAGCACCAAAATATAAATTAGAACCAAATTAGTGTGATGATTAAATGAACCAATCAACTTTAATTTGTCATTTGCAGTGAATTGTTCGAGTCTCTTGGTAGTAATCCTCCAATGATGAATTTCTTCTTGTCAATCTTGTTTGTTGAACCATGGTGCTGTCCAACACTGGTACACCAAAGAGGCATACTAAAGAGCGACACCAGGTGCATAAAATGGCACAAATTTTACCGTAAAATATCAAACCCAACAAACCCATGAGCAGGAAACCCAAACTCGCGATGGATCTGTAACATCCTTTTTTATACTTGTTCTTCTCAATCCTGGTTACATCTAGGTCTTGTTGTCCTTGCCCTTCTTTTGAAGCATTTGTATTTGCTTCAAACGACTTGTTTTTAGCATAATTAGATCTTGAACTGTTACTAGTCGAAGTTGGTCGAAATTTGCCGGACAAGTACTTCAAATTGGCTTTAAAATTACGCGATGAGCTTGATCGAAGAGATTTGATCCTCTTGGACAAAGACCTGATGCTTGAATTGGATGTTTGCGATAACGAACTTGATGAAGAGTTTACAGAAGATGAAATGAAGACAGAACAGTTAGTTAAAGAAGAAGCAGTGTCAGACATCGCTCTTGGGTCATCTTCCTCGGAGTTGTACTTTGAACTCTCATTTCTTCCAAGTTTATTTCCCTTCTTTCTTTTTTGAATCTTATTGGCCTATCAATAGTGATAAATCTACGTAGGAGTGAGTACAATATCATAGGACATATTAAGATTATAGACTATCACTTTGTGTCTCTCATTACCTCGTAGACTATCACTTTTAATTATGAGATACTTAATCTCGTCATTATTTCATCTATATTATTGATATCATAATGGTATCATGGAGAAATAGTTAACAATTACTGTACAAAGTTGACTGGCTAGAGTAAGGTGAAATACGTAATAGCATTTCAGAAGAAAAGACGTAATACGGTTGCAAAAGCAAGAAATAGGGTTTGAAAAGAAAAAAAAACATGTGGAAAGAAACCAAAACTAGAAAACTAACCAAAAAAACCCAACAAAAGAGAGATTGAAGTGAACATAAACTCACCAAAGATGTCTCGAACAAAATCGCCTTCAAAACACGAGATAATTTACGTCGGCCTTTGCTTCTCCAATATTGACTGTCACGTTTCTCCTCATTTTCTTCATTACCTAGCAATGGTGAAGCCATTGGTGACACCTTCGGGAGCACCACACCTCGCTTTTCTTCCACGCCAACGTATGAATTTTTCTTGGAGATCACTTTCGGCACATCCTCCGACCGATGTCGATTAGGAGTTGAGGTAATTGAACTCTCATGTGTTGTGTTTGCAAAATTCTTTTCAGATTTTCTTTCTTTAATCTTATTGACCTGCCAATGTTTACAGATATGCATGCATGCAATATTAATAACAATGATAACATGAGTAAACAACAAAATAAAAGGTTTACTTGACCTAATCTGGGAGAGACTTTTCCGTGTATCAGGAACATGAGCTGGAACATTATATGTCGTTATACAATTAGAAAAAAAGTTTTTTTTCTTTTCAAGTGTCCTTCCAATTGTATAATAACATGTGATGTTTCGCTTTGTGTTCTAGGCACACTAAAAAATCTCTCCTAATTTGGTCACTATTTGAAAAAATAATAATGAGCCAACGCTCCCCTTCTAGAAAATTATGCAAAAAAAGAAATGTTTAAATTTAAAATATCAAGAAGTATTGTTCCAAAAAAAGAGACCAAGAAGTACGATACAGGTTGTTTCTTGAGAACTTTAACGAAAAGCTTCCCGTATTGTTCACTTTAAGAAAAAACCACATTTTTACACTAAAAAATCTTCACTTTATCCTTTATTTTGTCCTTATTGTTAAAACTCAAAGTTTTAAGTCTTTTTCATTAATTTTCCTTTGTTTCTTTGGTAATAGAAAAGGGAGGGGAATCGAATTCGAAACATTTTCTAACATGAGATAGAAAGAAATATCACTAAAGGGAATTTCTCTATGGTGCCCCTAATTATTTTTTTTTCTTTTTAAAAGAGATAAGTTGGTGGCTTCATCACAGCAATCCATCATTCTAGGGGCCGAGAAGACTCACAGATGCATTTCAACATCCCCTAAACACTACCGTGTATCTATTTTAGGGTTTTGTGTGGGAAGAATTAATAATTGAAAAAATTAATTTCAATACTCAAGTTTGATATAATCACAAAACTGTGGCAAACACATGCATGACGTTATTAATTAGAGATTTAAAAAGAGAAAGCAACTAACCAATTTTGTTTTGAACAAAACTGCCTTTAAAACTTGATAAAATCCACATCGTGTTTTCTTTTCATTTTGAGTACTACGACATTTTTCATCGTCTCCTTCATTATCTGATGTTGCCAGCGACGACACTGGCACCACCTTGGGAAACACCCCACCTTCCCTCTCGCCCACAGCCACATATGTGAAAACATTCCTAGAAGGTCGTCCAGGTTCTGAACCGACCACATCAAACGATCGAAAACATAGGAAGAAATTTGTAGCTTTCTTTTTCTTCTTCTTCGTCTTCACTTGGGTCGTTGTAGAATATCCATTGGCACTTGTTGTGCTAGCGTGACAAAGCGGGCTGTAGTTTTCGCGATGCATGGCTCCGTTGACATGGAATTTTTAGGGGGGCTAGTTTGTGTTTGTCAGCCAAGAAAGCTGGGATTCAAGAATCCGAGAAAACGAGGGTGGGAGGGAACAGTGTGGTGCGCCATTTTGGTGTCAAAAATTAATAACAATCATCTGCATCATGTGTTTGTAGTTAATTTGTATTTGTAACTTGCAAGAGATTTTCAATGGTAAGCCATGTTGTACGCGCTTAGTTTGCTCCTTTACGTCAAAATTTATATAAAAAAAATTGGATTGCAAAGTGTTCTATTTTTTGACAAATATGGATTTTGTGGTTTTCTGTTTTTAGCTTTCAAATACGAATCAACCAATGTAACCCAACGTGGATTGAGTTGTGCCATTTGTCAACGTCTCAACAATTTCATTACTTTGTTTGCTAAATTTAATTTGTTTTGTTTTATATCTAAAACAATTTCATTTGGTTGTAACTTCAATGGTTGAGAGTGTTTAACTGAGTTCAATTGTCGGTCTCCTTTCAGAGCATTAGCTCTCCTTTTGGACAAAACGGGACAAAACCGAATATTTTTTTACTTGGTACAACTTAATTTGGTACCAGATGTAAAACTCATTGAATGTCAATGGACTATTGGCCAAGTCACTTGATTATTGAGAAATTTGATATTTAAGTTACTTAGATACTCAAGTGATCTTAAGATCCTAAAGAATAAGAATCGTGGAGTCTTAATATCATGCAACTAATTATGTGAATATATGTCAAAGTGGAACACCGATTGATTGGATTATGATTCGGTAAATCTCTCCTTCCTATAACAGGATGGATGGAGAAAAACCCTAATTAATATAAAAAGCTTGTCTCTGTTCTCACAATGATTGTTCTCATACACAATCAAAAGATAAGGAACTTAGTTTAATTAGTTTCTCAGTTCTAACATTTATTGTGTTTTTCAGAATATATCATACACCATCTAGTACCCAACTTAGTTTAATTAGTTTTCTAAAAAGATAAGGAACTTCCATTAGTTATTTGTAGACTAATAAAAGCATAAGGACTATATTTGCAGTTAGAAAATAGAAAATTGCTCGTCTAAGTTTCTAACTCACAAATTATTCAACAAAAAAGGGACTTGAATACAACAAATGATTTTGTTTTAACAAACATAAACTTGACTAGTCTTTTTGTTTTTTCAGAAAGAAAAATAATTATTTGATCTTGAGTTTAAGATAGATTGTGTCATTGTGACAAATCTACCAGTCAATTCACAAGAACCGCTGCGCTGGGGTTGAAAATTATCAGAAAACGAATATTTGAGTGAAATATCTGCATGGTAACCCTAGCTAGCTAGTATGATTACACTTAGCCCCAATTTGGGGTTGAGGTGATTTTTTAAAAAGCTGCAATGAAAAAAAGCTGATAAGGATTTGTTGTAAACATCCCAAACAGTTATTCAAAGTTCATGAAAAAAAGCCAAAAAGTGGAAGCTGCATTTGTAGCTCCAGCCGCTTATTTCAAAACGCGAGCTACAGTACCAATTAATGAATTTTTCATTTACCAAAATCCCCTCTTCTCCTTTCTCCTTCTCTCGTCCTACACTGCACTTTCCTCTCGTGCAAAAAACTCCGCGCTCACTCTACACCCCTTTCCCTCCCCCGTGCCCCTTCCCCTCCTCTTTTCTTCTCTCGTCACTCTCACGAACGCTGTCGCCTTCCGGCAATCTCGACTGCTTCAATTTTGCATAATTAATTAATTAAATTTTTAGGTTAGGGTTTGGCTGCTCTTTTCTTTTGCTGCGTTGCAATTCTTCTTATCCCAGATTTTGTTTCTCGTAAAATTTCATACCCTTATTTTGGTTTTTCCATTTTTTCGATTTTGCCCTTTTCTCGCCTATGTTCTCTTCTTCGTTTCCCTGTTCTCCTCTTCCTTCTTCTTCTTCTCCTCCCATTCGTCGATTCTCCTCCCCCCACCACCCCTCAAGGTGTGTTTTACACTTCCGATTTCCTACATAACTGATTAATTATTCATTTATTTGTTAATTTAATGTTTCTTTTGTTGTTGACTCTGTTGATTATTGAAAATCTCTTACTTTTATGGGTTGGTGATGTCTGGATTCAATTTCTTTTAGGATATTGTTTCAATTTTTAGTCAAATTTGGTGATTTAGAATGCTGGGTATTTCGGTTTTCAAGGTTTTAAATGCAAAAGGATAGTTGCTGTGATGTGCATTAGAGTGATGAAAGAAAAGATGAAATTTTGAAAGAATTTGATTTGTTAAGTCGGTGTATTTGTGATCAATGAGCTAAAGAAGGAAATTAGTTGATGGTCTTAAGCAGCTTGGTGTGGATGCTGATTGTTTTCTTGGAACAAACTGCCCTCCTGTCCATGTGATTGGAAAGGGAGGCCTTCCAGGGGGGAAGGTGTGGTTTGCATTGTCTTGTATATTTATGGTTGTTCTGTAATGCCTGTAGTTTTGATGCACTTAATCAATTCAATCCACACTTTATCTGTTGTTTTCAGGTGAAGCTCTCTGGATCAATTAGTAGTCAATACCTGACTGCTTTGCTTATGGCAGCTCCTTTGCACTGAACCAAGAAAGGTTCGTTTTAGTTGGCTGCCCTCACACTTGATAGTCCCACACCTTCATATGCTTATTACTTCTCTAACATTTTTCGGACCTAAATTTCAGCTGGGAGCAACTGTTGAAGAGGGACCAGATTACTACATAATCACACCACCAGAAAAATTAAACGTGACAGCAATAGACACGTATGATGACCACCGAATGGCCATGGCTTTCTCTCTTGCTGCATGTGGAGACATTCCAGTTACTATCAAGGATCCCGGTTGTACCAGAAAAACATTCCCCGATTACTTTGAAGTCCTCAGGAAGTTTACCAAGCATTGAACAGTGGTTATAAGATATATTTATCTGTAGATAGGGAGAGAGAGGGATCGTCCTTGTGCCTCTACAGCCAAAGCAGTGCAGATGGAAGCCACACTTGTTTCAGTTTCTCTTTATTCCCCTGTAATTTTGGATGATTTGTATTTGCGAGTTGAGCTCGTTATTTGTATTTGCGAGTTGAGCTCGTTATTAAGAAATAGAATAGCGGCAAGTTTGATGAATGCATCTAATTAGATTACTTTTAAGTACATTAACAATATTGTACTAATGAATTCTAACTATTCAGTCTAAAATATTTCAATTGAAGTAGTTTGTCATACTAATTAATATTTAAGATAAAGTTTATAAATATGTTTGTTTTACAAATAAAGTATATTTAGTAATTCACCTTTATTGGTTAAGAAAATTAAATTAATGGCACATCTAGTATTATACCCTTTTTGGTCATTTTACACAGTCACAGCTGTTTTATATAAAAGTTTACCAAACACTATCATACTGCTTTTTTTTCCAAAAGCACTTTCACAAAAAAGTTTACCAAACACTCTGCTGGCTTTTTTTCACAGCCGTTTTTTTTCACAGCACAACAGAAGCAATTTTTTTTCAAAGCACAGCAATACCAAACCAGCCCTTAATATTCCGACTGAAGGGTTGAAGCTATGTAGCTGCAAGCCTGCAATGGTGAAGAAGATTAATTGAAAAAGAATAGCTAATGGTGTCCAACGGTAGCCTTGAGAGGGTACAATGTGTTTAAAAGGCAACGAATCTATATCTCCGGAGCCTCCTCAGGCCAACTTGGCCATTCTATCTACCGCTACATTGGTGGTTCTATGAATGTGACAAACTTTTGAAGAAACAAAATTATGGAGGTTACTTATAATATCTTCAACAAGAAAATTAGAACCTGATGAACCTCCTTGCAGATTACCAAGAGCTTGGACAACGTGCAGCGCATCGCCCTCTATTATGACTTGCTGCCATTTTCGTTCCCAGGACAAGCAGACTCCATTACGTGCTGCCAGGGCCTCAAACATCTTTAGGGAGGTGACGTGGGATATTTTGTGAGCAAAACTTCCAACATAGCTACCAACTTCATCACGAAATATATCCCCGACACCCCAGTATTTGTAGTGGCATTGAAAGCCCCAACGACATTGATCTTGATCCATTGCGGAGGGGGATGAAACTAGGGTGAAGGGGACTTGAGTGGCTGCGGTTTGGAAGGTGGCTGCTCTTTTAAAAAGTTCGAGAGATGAAGGCCTGCCAAATGGCCCACGAGGGCTGGGTTGTCCACCTTGCCATCCTATAGGAGGGAATTCCTAGCCCGCAAAATATCATGAATAAACATAAGAAAATGGGCAAACTGGCCTAATGAGAGAGCAGCACCTTGGTGGCTAACTCAGTCGCGGACAGTAGATAGGGCAGCAACTCGGGTGACATGGCTGATGCTAGAAGAGAAAAACACTAAACATGCAAATGGACACTCGATAAGCACATGTAGTGCCGACTCCGGAGAGAAGAGCTATATAGAACACAAAAGTTGTCCATCGCAATACCCTTTTTCCCCAAATTAGAACGGTTTGAAGGATGTCCAAGCAAGCCTGCCAAATACAAAATTTGATTTTACTTGGAAAGCTGGCCGTCCCGATTAGATTCCAAAAAAACGGTCCTCAATATGTGGCCTCGAGGTGGAAAGCCTCTCGTATAATGATCAAGCTACTTTTTATGCACTTTTAACCGAGAAAATACCTTTAGCATCATAGTGCCATATCAAGCGATCCGGTGGAAGTCTACCGCTGAGTGGAATGAGGAGAATCAAGTGAACCTCACTGGACGGAAATTCTAGGAGACCGTGCCTGGAGTTATCAGTGAGGAGACAAACTCGCCATCAAAGCCGACTGGAGGGGGAGAAAATGACCAGAAAAGATGTGGGCGGTCCACCCACCTGTCATGCCATATCCGAATTGAATTACCATTACCAACCTGCCAACGTGAGCCTCTTTCCAGTATTAGACGAGCTTCCAATATTATTCCTCTCCAGCAAGCTAACGGGCAAGAGCCTAAAGAAGCATCCCAAAGGGAGTTGCGGGGGAAGTATTTGGCTTTAAGTAACCCAGAATCAAGAAAGTCAGGGTTAAGTATGAGTTCTTCTCTCTTAATGTAGATAATATTGTTTGTTAAAAAAAAAACTCATGCCAAAGCCCACATATGATAATTTGGTTACTATATATTTTTCTAGGGTTATTTTATTGGCATCCCTTATATTGTTTAATACACATTACTTGGGTTATTTTATTGGCATCCTTTATATTGTTTAATACACATTATGCATTAAAATCACCTGACACTTTCTTTTAAATTAAAAATTATCGTAGTACACTTGATTTACTTGCCCAAACTACCTCACACCCTACACCTACTTCGCACATTTTCTGCAAAGAGAACCTGCTCATATCCATCAAAATTGAGATTCGGTAGGTCGTTACCGAGTTTATCAACACCGTGAAATATTTTATCAGGAAAATGTCAAAACCTTATAACTTTTCAACAGGTATATACCGAAGCTATGCATATTTTCAGTAGGCACCAACTAGGGGTGGGAAATTTTGCTATAAACCGATTTACCGACCGAACCATACTGATCTGCTCATAATGGTATGGTATAGTTTTGGTATTTTTTTATAATTGGTTGACATTTTACCGAACCAACAATTAATGGCATGACTTTGGTAATTGATTTTGTATGCCGATGGTATGCCATACCTACCAATATATATATATATATATATATATTTTTTTTTTTTTTTTCTATTTAGATATTTTAGGTTTTTTTTTACATGTTTGACTCCTCAGTTTTAGGGTTCAGAAAATAAATGACTCCTTAGTTTTAGGGTTTAAAAAATATATGTATATGTATATGATTCATGCCATAATAAATATAGAAAATATTGTTAACAAAATTGATAACATCATGATTACTGATACTATATATACACGTACATATAAATGATTTTGAATGTATATGCATTGCTTATGTTTAGGATGATGGAGTCTAGCCAATCAACCGCTAGTGCACAACATAGATTAACCCAAAATGAACCACACAATGCAACCGAACAAGCACCTCAATCTGAAAATCAAAATGAGCCCTTGGAATTGGAAGATAGCGAGGAAGAAGTGGAAACCACTGGTTGTGCCATTTATCAATCGAACCAACCAATAATTTTGGTTGAACAGATTTTTAGCAACCTCAAGAAGACGGTTGACTAGAAAAAATTGATTTTTCGGTAATTATGTATATGTGGCTAACAGGTGGCACAAGGAATTTGGCACGATTGCCAACCAAACCCAGCCCTAGCACCAACCAAAGAGTACGTAGCAAATGCAATGGTGAAAATTTTGGCAGGTATCTACCGAAATGTCTTCCATTTTCGGTAGAGAGCTACTGAAATACATTTAAATTTTTAGTAGGAACTTACTGAAAAACTGAATTGTGATTTGGGATTCAACAAGCATGATGATTCGTTCAACCTAAATGGCAATATGAAAAAAGTATGAAGTCTTATCTTATGCCGAGGCCTCCAAACAGTCGATTTCATATTTTATTTTCTAATTTTTTTAACGTGTTTGTGCCTTTATTGGTTATGATGTTGTTCTGTAATGTCAAGGTTGAAGAGGTTTTAAAGTATGAAAGTTTTATTCACATACTCATTTTTACTTCTTACACACCGTTATCAAATTTTGATCGTCAGATGAATGAGTTGAAGAATGTCAATAACCACAAATTAATAAGGATGTGTGAAAAGTAAAAATATGTATGAATAACACTATCCTTAAAGTAACACTTGAAGAAAAAGAATTTTATCAAGTTAAACCCAAATAAAGTACATTTTGTTGGGCCTATATATAGTAGGCTTCCTAACTTCAAACCCCATGATACAATACAAAAACCACTAGAGCCCCATGTTCTCTACCAAATTGCTAACTTCTTTTATAGTAATGTTAAGAAGACTAAATTTTTCAAATTAAATCAAACCAAATGATGTGATTGTAGATGATTTGATTATTAATTAAACATCAATTTAAGTGTTATTTCTTATTGGTGATACGACATTTGATTTAAAAATTTGATCTTTCTAACATTATCTGTTTTTTCAACTCTTCTTGAGATGAAAAAGACAACTAAAGAAATTTCAAAAAAGTAATGATAGGAAATTAACTTTTTATATCATATTAGAAATTAGATTTAAATAAAATTCAATCACAAAATCATATAATTTATAAAATATAGTTTAAATAGATGACACTTTTCAAAACATATTCAGTGTTGTTTTTGTATGCAAGAAGCATACAGAAACTTTGCACTTAGGGCAAAGAACCATATTCTCTCCCTATCTGTCTCTCCCTCTCGTCCCTATCCAATTTCAAAACCCTTTGTTTCTGCAGAGAGAGCGATGCTGGATCCTATGGACCTGCTCCTATTCAATCTCTCCCGGGTTCGGATCCCGGAACCCACCAACCGCATCTACAAGCAAGAATGCTGCATCTCTTTTGACACTCCGGTAACGAATTTCCCTCCAATTTTGCTCTCACTCACTTTATCTACTCCAAGCTCGATACTTTAGAATTTGGTTTCGTTCTTCTGTTGAATTTTCTCGAGCTTTCTCGCCGGCCAAACAGGGGATTAGTATGTTTACTTGTCTTCTGTTTGGCAATGGCGGAGCTAGAAATTTTTTCCCAGATGGGCTAGCTTAAAGATTTAAATCTTTATAAACAAAGAAATTTTTTGACAGTATCAGCTAACTTCAGAAAATTTTCACAAGGTGAGCCAAGAATTTTCGTTATTCAAACAAATTCAAACTTGTGCATGTACAAGAAGCGATGAGAAAAAAGATGTGAGAAAAAGAGATGATTTGTAAACTGTATTATATAATTAAACTAATAGAATTCAAATCCGTAACTAAATATATGGTGGGTTACATTTGAAAATCAGTAAAAACTGCATGTAAAATTTTATTTTCTACCAAAAGCTAGCCCTTAATGTGGCTCCGCCGGTGCTGTTTGGCTGCTGAGGAAGTATAGGAAACAACTAGAAGCTGCTACGACGAATTCAGGATTTGCTCACTATACTAATACTGCCCTTTGTGTTAATTTTTATTTTCCCTTGATTTAGCTAGTGTTTTCAAATTTGAGTATTTCTTCCAAATGCTGCTTTGATTTTTGCTGCACTTCAATGATTTTTATGGCTTATCACTGTGTTTGTTTCGTTTTCTTTTTTCCTTGTATTTTGCTGGTGCAATTTCCACTTGCATAGTTTGGATGCCGGAAAGGTGTACAGAAGGAAAGTGACTCTGGTTATCAAATGATTGAACAACTGGGAGCAATTTACTTACGATACTTGGTTGACATACATGCAAAGTAACTATGAATTACGAGTTCAATATAGTTGGTGAAGTTTTCTGTATGTTCATAAAAGCAAATACCTAAATAACTTAGTATGAAACATATTCGTAGGGTTTCAATTACTTGGTTTCTTATACAATGAATAGTGTTTGGTTTTAGGTTGTTGTGATTGATTTTTTGTCCCTTTTTTTTTTTTTTTTTAAGAAGTTATAAGGGCTAAGAGGCTTCAATTTCCCTTGACATTTAAATGTTGAAAAGTTCTTGGTTGTATCAGGAATTCGCTTAAATAATTTCATACAATTTGTTTTATTTGTGGGTTTGTTTTCTCTAATGGTTATTCCGTGATTGTTTTCAGAGATCAGAAGGTGGTTTGTTTGTGGACATGAACACATTTCTTGCTTTTGGGAAGGATTGTGTGGGCTGGAACTATGAAAAGACCGGAAATCCAGTTTATTTGCATATAAAGCAAACAAAAGTGTTGGTTCCTGAAGATAGGCCTTTGAAGAAACCCACACTCATGGCTATAGGTAATTTTAATCAAAATGATCTATGCCTTTGCGGTATTGGAAATTACTGAGTTTGGATGATGTATTTTTGCAATCTATGCTATTTAGAGGCACCATTATGCATGTTGGATGACATATCCTGATCTGATAGTATTTAGACTAAAATGCATGCAGGATATGTATAGTCATCGAACAGTAAGAGTTTTAACAGTTCTCACTGAAAACAAAATGAATGTGTATAATCTTCAAAGGAGAAAAAGGAACCTGATCTCTCTTTGTTAATATCGAAGCAAATAATGTCTGTTGGCGAGGAACACACGCAAATAAGTTAGTATTTGCAAATAAATCTTATTCAAATTTGAAGAACCGCTCGCTCTATCTCTCTATTTCTAGTATAGTAGTGCTGAGTCCTATTTTCCAAACTATATAAGCCAAAATGTTTCTATTAAAACTTTTGAGGTAAATAGACAAGATGCAAATTTTATGGATCTTTCCTTAGTACATACTACTACAATTTGTATCTGTATTATTTGATGTGGTTGATACAGGCTCATCATGTTTTTAGTGTTAATATTGCTTGCTCCGCAAGACCCAATGGTTATCGTACTGTGTACTAGTAGTAGATGTTCTGTTGTCGCGAAACAAATTTTAACCTGTGGCATGATTTGTAGGTGTCGATGGGGGATTTGATAACAATGAGCCTGAATATGAAGAAACACACAATATAGTCCTACTGCCTGATTATGTAACTCTTCCATTTCCTTCTGTCGAATTACCAGAGAAGGTGCTCATTCCTTTCTATTTGTTCTAGATCATTATTGATGTGAATAAATAAGAGAGCAAATAGGGAACAATTATGACTTTTTTCTGCAGGTAAGATTGGCAGTTGATGCCATTTTATTGGCTGAGGGTGCTGAGAGGAAAGAACAACTTGCAGCATGGACAGCCGAGAAGAAGCAAGTTAGTGCTTATGCAACGAATTTGCAACAGATTGACAATGGTATTATTATTCCTTCATCTGGCTGGAAATGTTGCAAGTGTGATAAAAGAGAAAACCTTTGGTTAAATCTAACTGATGGAATGATCCTTTGTGGGAGGAAAAATTGGGATGGAACTGGTGGCAACGACCATGCCATTGAACACTATAAGGAAACAGGCTATCCTCTTGCTGTAAAGCTGGGGACAATTACAGCTGATCTGGAAGGAGCAGGTAATGCTGCCTTGTGTTGTTAAAATCTCTGCAATTACTTATCGTATTCATCATGTGCTTGTGTTTGTAAGTACATAAAAGTTACGCAATTTTATCTGGTTCATGTTCATGAATGAAAAACATGCTGTTTAGCAGACAAATCCTGGCAAACATGACCTAGTAGTTGATTATTTCAAATGAATGAGTTTGTGTTACATGTATTGATTTCTATTGATAACTAACATATTGTGGCAGCTCAGATGTTTTCTCATACCCAGAGGATGATAGTGTATTAGACCCACTTTTAGCACAACATCTGGCATTTTTTGGCATTGATTTCTCATCATTACTGAAGGTTAGTTTCATCTTTTCTGAAATGTGTTTTGGACCTCCTAATTCTCTATTTTTTTTTTTTTTTCCAAGCAGGGCTCCTCTATTCTTAACATATGCTAAAAAATGTTCTTAATATAGAGAGTTTAACTATTATTTTTTTATTAGTTGGATTAAATCTTTATGTGGCATTCTCATATACCAAATGTGAAATGATTCAGTTATTGTCAAATTATATACCAGTTGATTTTCCTTGCAAAGATTGAAATGAAACATGTGGTATTGTATTTTTATACACATTTGAATAAATTTATTTCCCGTTATGAATGAAAATTTCAATTTTTAGTGTGTTAGGGATATCTTTTAGATATAATTGAAGACAATTATAATGTTCTAGCAGGATAACAAAACTTGTGAAATGTTTGACTGGGTCAAATTTTTAATAATACAATGAGGTATGAAAGATCTAATGTTCATCTTTTAAGAGGAAGAAATCTGTTGCATGCCAGTAATCTAATGGTTGGGATTTTAAATACAGTAATGATATCAAGTTCTGTAACAACTACAGAAAATTTCTGGACTCTAGCTCTTTGAACAGGTCTTGAAGTTTTCTCTTTTGGTTGCATTTCTGTGTTGCACAGAAGAGTCAGCACTCTCCGAACGGGGGATTGATCACATATTCCTCTTACCTTTGGTTAAAGCACTCCCTTGCTGGACCATTTGGTTAAAGTGCATGGTCAATCGTGAATGTTCCAATGAAAACCAGATATCTCTGACTTCTGATTTGCTTTTGAAGTTCAGTATTTTGTTTCCCTGAAATTTCTTAACATTCCAAATGTTTTCTTGGAAATTGTGCATTTGGATTGCTGTGCTTTTAGTAATATTATTCTGTCAGTGTTAAATTTGATAGAATAGCTGATACCATTCTTGTTTTCAGACAGAAATGACAACTGCTGAAAGAGAGCTTGACCAGAATACCAATTTTGACTGGAACCGGATTCAAGAAAGTGGACAGGAGGTTGAACCGATATTTGGACCTGGTTACAATGGACTTGTCAATCTTGGAAACAGGTATATTTGGTACCTGTTTGGTATTCTGAAGACATTGTATCTATTGACAATGTCTTGATTTCTCATTTTGTTTTATTGCAGCTGTTATATGGCAGCGACTATGCAAGTTGTGTTTTCAACACACTCTTTCTATTCCAGGCGAGTTTACACTTTATGTTATTTAGTTTCAATGAAAACAAATCAATTTAGAAGAGAAATGTTTCATACCGGTTAATATTTTGTTATTACATTTGATCAGATACTTCAAGAATCAAAGTTTGAAAATGGCTTTTGAAAAAGCACCAGCTGACCCCACTGTAGACCTGAACATGCAGTTGTAAGTAGTTAGCGGATTGTTAGTGTTGATTCTATGTGCATTTCTATCATCTATTGTGGTTAACTATATGTTGCTATTCACGCTAAGAAAGCTAAGCTGTGTTACTTGTTAATGTGAGTGTTGTGTTCGACATTAATTGCTTTGCAATTATTGGTGTAAACACAAGTGTCTGCATGTGTAGGTCTGTTTTTTTATTTTTATTTTTTATACTTCTGCAAGTAGTTCTTTTCCCTCTTCCTCGGCCTATCATTCTAAGAAAATTAAGTTGAGTCATAAAAAAACTGGTTTAGGAAGGTTTTCTGTGCAAGGTCATTTGTACTTAAGATTTCTGTGTTATATGGCAGAACAAAGCTGGCGCATGGTTTGCTGTCTGGTAAATACTCCGTTCCTGTAACCGAGGTATGTTTGTATTAGCAAAATGGTTTATTTGATTTGACGGTTTCTGTTTGCTTGATGGTGGCTGAGATTTCTTATATGTTGTCCAGGAAAAAGATCGTACAAATGCCATTGCCCCTACAACAAAATTAGTAAGCTCTCTCGATAAGCATCTGCATTCTAAGTGCCGTACTTATCTATGCTTATTCATTGTTAGTGTTTTGGTATTGCTGTGTAAATTTGAACTCAACATGCTAGTGATTTGTATCCTGTTCACTTTTATATTGAATCTTGATGAGACTGTTGTATGCATATTTCTCGATACTTTCCCAATACTTACCTCAATTACTTATACTTTAAAAAATCAATAAAAAGAACATGCTTCCCCCATTTAATATGCCAGGCTTCATTCAGAGATTTCCTTTTGACTTGTTCTGTCTCTCTTTTGTTTTAATCCACCTTCAAATAATATTAGAAACAGGAAGGGATACCTCCTCGTATGTTTAAGGCGGTTATAGCTGCCAGCCATCCTGAATTTTCTTCCATGAGACAACAGGTACATTCACCATCTCTTATGATCTATGACAAAAGATTTGCAATTTTTTACAGAACTCTGTTTTTTTTTATCCTTGAAGAAGATGCGTGGTGTTTTTTTTTTAATATTTTTATTGTCTTATTTACTAAAAAATTGAAGTTTAAAACCTCGATTAATATCCATGTGTGAATTTATAATGTAAATGACAAAAGGATGAAGCAAGAAAATGGCAGAGAGAACGTTTCTATATTTCCGTAAATCTCATATCTGAGCAAGAGGTACAAGAATAATGATATTTTCCTTACTCAGGATCCTATATCAGCCACTCAACCATTCATCCATTGCGATTATAACACGTGGCCTACACTTGGCATGTGAGAAGAAGCGACTAAGAAACTAGCTGTTAGAAACTAATCCACAACATTTAAATTGTAATGAACAGCTAACAAAGCAGTAAACAATTAAAAGCATATGCAACTGGGAGAACAATATTTGATCCTCTCACATATGACTTTTGCTGTTTAATGTAAATAATTGAAACCAAATTTTGTTTAGGATGCCTTGGAGTTCTTCCTTCATTTTCTTGACCAAGTTGAACGAGTTCATTCTGGAAGACCTGAAGTGGATCCTGCGAGGAGTTTTAAGTTTGGCATCGAAGATCGTATTATGTGTTCGTCTGGGAAAGTTGCTTACAATAGAAGGGTTGACTACATTCTCTCATTAAACATCCCACTTCATGCTGCCACTAATAAGGGTGAGTTTCTTCTTGGGCCACTGTTGATGGTCTTGAGTCACTAATCACTATTGATGCTGAAACATGATCCAGAAGCTGATACTCTTGTTTTCTTCTTACTTTGAAAATTCAGAAGAACTTGAAGCCTTTCAGAAATTGAAAGCAGAAAAGATTGCGGAAGGCAAGGAAGTGTAAGTTTATATGGTTTCAAATTCAATATCATGGTGTCGTTTTTGATCTCCTTGCACACTTTGAACTAAGAATGTGAGTTCTTCCAGATCCGGTGATGAGATTGTACGTCCAAGGGTTCCTCTAGAAGCATGCCTTGCAAGCTTTTCATCTCCCGAAGAGATACAGGATTTTTACAGCACTGGTTTGAAGGCCAAGACAACGGCTGTGAAGTAAGCTTTCTGATTGCTGGTGTCAAAATATTTTTAGGTTATGTTATTTTCGTCTGCTAAAGGCTGATTGACGGACAAGAATGCATGTGGAGGACTTGAAGTTATTTGGATAACCAAAATGATGGAGCTGTCCACTAATTTTGGTTAATTCTGTTCCACTACAAGTTAAGATGTTTAGGAAGGAAAATTGGTTAATTCTGTTCCACTACAAGTTAAGATGTTCTTTTATCATGTATTTCCGAACTGTTAACTAAGCATGTCTTGAATAATCTTGATGCCTACTGAAAAATTATATTTTCTTCCTTAAATCTATTTTAATACATTGCAGGAGTGCAGGTCTAACTTCGTTCCCTGATTATCTGGTGTTGCACATGCGAAAGTTTGTAATGGAAGTGGGTTGGGTGCCGAAAAAACTTGGTATTTTCTGCTGGGTTCCTAAATTGTTATGCATTAATACTTCTGGTTTTTTATAGGCTTCTCATTGTTTTCTTTATCCGTCTCTGCAGATGTATATATAGATGTTCCTGATATCATAGATATCAGTCACATGCGCAGCAAGGGACTCCAACCTGGTGAAGAGTTGTTGCCGGAGGGCGGTATGTGTTACAATTTTATTTTCCCAATGTCTTATTGAATATTTTTTGGAGAAATTGTAAAAACTTCTCGATGGTGCCTGCATATGTTCGTGGATGTTCCCTTAAGTGCATTTTACGTGGAATTTTCACTCAAGTTGTAGTGCATTTCAGTGGATCTTTGTATTGTCATATCATAATTAAACCTAAGTACTCTCATATTTTGGAAGTCTGTGAACTTGCAGCCAAACAAAAGTGTTAAAATCATGTTTTTAGCATGTAATTGCATTATGCTCCTTAGACATGTCCTTTACTAATTGAATTTAGAAAATGTGCAAGCACCACGAGAGTCTCTTTTGCATATTTTGGTCTTTTATGGTATTTGCATACATGCGCTTGGCTAATTTAAAATGATATTTGTGCTTCTCTCTGAATTATGCGTTGACTAGACTATTCAGTTTCAGGGGAAGAGGAGGAACCAAATGAGCCTGTTGCTGACGAGAGTATTGTTTTCCAGCTTGTTTCAATGGGTTTTAATCATTTTCACTGTCAGAAAGCTGCCATTAACACGTCAAATACTGGAGTGGAAGAGGCAATGAATTGGCTACTTTCTCACATGGATGCTGCAGGTAATGCAACAAGGTTCTTGCCAGAATGTCTTTCATCTCAGAAAGTAGTCATCTTTCTAGCAAGAGTTAGCTTTTGAGCTGTGAGCTGTTATGTTTAGGGAACAAAATGATACTGATGCACTCTTCCATTTGCAGATATAGATGCTCCCATTTCTCAAGGGGGACAGTGTGCGGTTGACCAATCAAAAGTTGATATGTTGATTTCATTTGGTTTTCAAGAAGACACTGCTCGGAAGGCACTGAAAGCATCGGTAAAACTTTTTAGGAGCTCCTTTTTATTTCTAGAATAGGCAGCTGTTTGTGTATTTGTCTAACTACAGAAGATTTTGGTAACCTTTGCTTATCTTTAAATTATGTATATTTGACAGGGTGGTGACATCGAGAAAGCCACGGATTGGATATTCAACAATCCTGATGCTTCTGCTTCATCGGACATGGATGCGACAACATCTGACACTGCATCTACTGTGATTGATGCTGGACTGCCTGATGGAGCAGGGAGTAAGTATCTTAGACCTCTGATAGATGTATATATGTGATGCATATGTGATACGTGTTAAACAGTAATTACATGAAGACATCCGATGTGTTCAATTTTAGGGTTTTGAGAACTGTTGTCGCTTGGCTCTATGCAGGATATAGACTCATTGGAATTGTAAGCCACATCGGAACATCTACTCAATGTGGTCATTATGTTGCTCACATCTTGAAAGATGGCAGATGGGTTATTTTCAATGATGACAAAGTTGGAGCTTCCGTTAATCCTCCCAAGGACATGGGATACCTTTACTTCTTTGAGAGACTTAGTAGTTAAGTTGAGGGACACCACATTTGTCGACACTGGAAGATGAGACCTGAGATGTTCAAAGGTGTAAAAGAGGCAGTGCAGGAATTTGCTGAAACTGCGTAATTTTGCCAATATGCTGGGGGATGGTGTTTGAATTTGCTACATAGATTCATGCCAATTGCTGAGGTTCCGCATTCGGATTTAGCCAAGTTTCTTCTTCATTTATTGAAGTTCTTGTACTTAAGAAATTTTTTTATGAACGGTAACATGTACAAGGACCATCTTGAAGTCCATTCTTATTTTTGTTGGGTCATTAAGTAGTGTTTTTGTTCGGTACACAATTATATATTATATATATATATATATATATATTAAATGTTTACTACAAGATCTTGAACTTCTTCGCACGTACATCCGCGCCATTATATGAGATTTTAACTTATCACTTGTGTTGTAATCCTGCACTCTAAATTTACTATGACATTTTATGAAGATTTAAAGTGTTCCAAAATAAGGCTAATGGCACTAGCTAACATTAGCATAAATGGCTCGGTTAAAGCATTTGCTCGGGCATGCGAGGTCATGTGTTTGAATTTCTTTCTGTGGTTTAGTTAAATTTAACGTAGATTATCCTATCGTTTAAAAAAAAAATGAACTTTAAGGAAATGTAGGTCTAACAAGAAAATAAGTTGATCTTGGATTCATTGTTTTAAACTCTAAGTATAACTTAAAACTTTAGCTTATTATTTAATACTAAAATAGTCAGCTCTACACTTTTTTTTATTCGTGCAATCACTTTCCTCCTGATATCGCTGCCAACATTCAAATCGCTGACATGCTCCATTCCCTTGATCTCTGCTTCCTCTTCGCCCTCGTCATAAACCTCACGCAGCCCGACTTCAAGCCAGCCGGCATGTATATTTCCCGAACTTTGGGTGGTATTGGGACCCCCTCGGTCCCAATGTACATCCTTCACTAATTGATATGATACTAAAACTTTATAATGCAATGTGAGGAACTAAAATTCTGTGATGCATTTAAAAGTCACCTAAGACGTAATTAGCCTAAAACAAAATAATAAAACCATCATAAATCAAGTCAAGATTAACCATCGTATCAAGTATCAAGTCATTTTTCAAAAATATATAAATGATGAGATTCACGTGAATTTCAGATTACTTCAAAGCCCTAGCTAAAATCAGAGTGCAATATTAAAAAGTTCACACAAACTTTGATTCGCATGACTCATGAGCGAACAATATTCCTGCTTGCTACACAGCCTCCTCGTCTAATAATTATTAATAACGTTTTTCTCACAGAAGTTGGGTAACGTTTAAGTCATTGGGAATGTCATGATACATATTTAAGATATTGCTGCAAAAACTATCCCTCTCATCTTCTGTGCAACAATTGGCATAGGTAGTGGTGGCCGGACTTGAGGAAGGTGTTGATAGCAGCGAACCAAAACTACACATATTTTGAAAGCTTTGATTATTAACGTTATCAGAAATGCACGCCGGCTGGTAATCTTGTCCTGGAATATTATGGCTAATGATTGACTCGTAGTAAGAGTCATACGAGCCCACCTGGTTTGTTATTATAGGAACAAAACTACTCTGATCGGCTCCATTTGTAGAACAAGGGTGGCCAAAATCAGTGATAAGGGGTTGGTTTAGAAATGGGGCGATATTTGGGAGCTGGTTTGATTGAAATTGGTTTTGATCATTGTTTTGTAAAAGGGAAAGTGGGTTTTGTTGAGCATGATTCTTTGAAGGAAATTCAGGATACGATGATTGCGGTCTGCGTTGGCTTGATAACAACGTAGCGGTTAAGTTGAGGAGCTCTGGATCCGTTATAGGTCCAATACTGAGCAGATTCGGAATATTAAGCTGCAAATTATCTGACGATGAGTTACAAAGGGTTGATGAGAGAAGGGAGGTGAGTTCAAGAAGATCGAGACGAGGAGTATGAGTGACAGGATCAATCCCCATTTTTAATAGCCTCTTTCTGATGTGTGTGTTCCAATAGTTCTTGATCTCATTATCTGTTCTTCCTGGCAAGCGAGAAGCAATGGTAGACCACCTAGATAGAAAGAGATCATCTTAATTAGCTTATAGTTAAGTACTGAAATGAAAAATTGGCATTGACTTGTACACTACTTTTGTCCACTCTTCAATCAAGACTTATCTAAATATGGCTTAGCTTAAATTGACAGTGTGATGACATAAAATGTCCTAAGCTCCCTTCTTGATACATAGCGACAAACCTAATCTTTATAAATTAAAAGATTTATGGAGTAGACAAAAGTTCTTTTTTGTTTTTTTAATTTTAAATTTATTATTATTAAGGGGTGGGGGAGGATTCGAAACGATTACAAAAATTTAGGAAAATGAGAAGTTTTGACTCAGGACGCATGAGTGGAAACCCGGAACCCTTTCCATTAGGATATGAGACCACATGCCAACAAAAGTTCAAAATTGTTTTGGATAAAAATCAGTTAAAAGAAGAATTTTTTTTCAATGGACTGAAACAAAACATGAAACCTAGAACTTTGTCCACTAGGATATGAGACCACACGCATGAGTAGAATGTTTTTGATAAAATGGAAAACTAAAACATGAACAACAAAATTTTAGTAAGATATTTTCTAGTGTATATGTACGTACTTGTTTCCCAAAACACTGTGTAACTGTATTATGGTCTCTTCTTCTTCCAGTGAGAACCTCCCTCTCTTAATATCAGGTCTTAAATAGTTTGCCCACCGAAGGCGACAACTCTTTCCACACCTTTTCAGTCCTATACACAAAACAATAAATGATCAGGAAACTTCACAAATTTAGTGAATTATTTGTACTTAATTCAACTATATATAATTAAACAACTATATATAAGTAAACATGGAACAATCCACCATGAAAGAAAATTTAAGACGTGATGATTACTAATTTGTAATAAAACTAACCTGCATTCTTGGGGACGGTTCGCCATCTCCCATGCCCGTGTTTCTGAATGTAATGAACGAGTTTATGATCTTCCTCCGGAGTCCATGGACCCTTTTTCAATTCATTCGTCTCACAACAAGGAATTTTCCCCATAATATTAGTTGGTCAAGAAAAAGTTAATCTATGTTTGGAAGAGAGAGAGAGAGAGAGAGAGAGAGGAGAAGCAAAAGAGCAGAAATGTTGCTGTAGGGGAAGTGTTAAGGTGTATATAAATATACAATAAGGGAGCAAAGCAAGCGAAGCAAATTGGGAAGTCAATGGGGTTCGGTACCACCCTAGCTTGTTCACCATTCCAACGACACGTGTCTTGTTAGAAGGACAAGTATATGTTATATAATCACCTCTCTTATTCAATGAGGCCACGTAAGCTGCATGCAAGATTATGCTGCCTAATATTACGTTCCTAAATATTAACAAAAAAAAAAAAAAGTATTATACTACTAGGGTGTACGTATTGATAAACTTTGTAACTCAAGTATGGTCCATCACCAATATCATTGATATTATTTCAACTTTATTACCTATTATTAAGTGTTGAGTTTTATCATAAAGCCATCTGAAGGATGAAAACTCCCATATATTAATTGAAGAATATTTTATCATAACGTGTGATCTATTCTCCAACACGTATGAAATTGTTCTCAAATAACTAAATGACTACTTCGCATAAGATTGTTATAAAGAGCATTTTTGGTTGTTTACAAACACGAGTTACTTAGGGTACGTGGCTCGGGTAAAATTGATAAATAGAGAACTTATTCCTTCGAATATGGAGTGGCAAAAGCTCGATCACCATAATTAGTTCAATTTTTTTTTTTTTTTTAAGCAACGATATATTGATATTTCAAACTACTTGGTGCGTAGAAAATAATTCCTTGAAGAAATGAAAAAAAATGAAGAATCAAGATGGAATCGAGAATCAAGATTCAAGATTCGAAGATGTAGAAAGGAAGCAGTAGATACCAAGATTGATCAATCACCGAGCGATTAGCTTTTTTGGCGAAGATATTATGAAACAAATTGAGGTTCTACTATAAATTAATTGATAAAGTGAGAAGTAGCACAACCTCTTACAAGTCTTTGCATAATTTGGTTGCTCACCGACGTGGGATTTGATCCTCACATTCTCACAAATTTATTCACCGTAAAGTATTTTGGTTCTTTTGAAAAAACTTGTCAATTTCTAGTTAAATAATCACATGACTTAAAATAGCAACTGGAACTACAAATATAATAGAAATATATTCAACATCTAACTGTCCATGCTCGCACAATAATGCATGTCAATATTATTCAACCTCGAGGTACTTTGACCAGCTGGATTTTATCCAAATTAAAGTCGTTAACAGTCTGCGTGTGACACATTAAGATCCTTTTCCCTTGTAATGTCTATTATCACAATTAGTAGCTGTCACCAAAATCATGTCACCACGTTATCCCCCACCGACGAAATCGTAGACTGCTACAGAGCACATTACATCTTATATAGCCAGATTCCAGGCAGTACCAGTTTCACGCATGCATGCATGCATGTCTCCCAGCCTTCAAGCCAATCAGCTGCAATTTGTTATTTCTTCATTATGTTTGGCCTCGTTTGGTACGAAGAATTAGATTACAATGGACACATCACTGTTTATAAGTTATTTTAAAGAAAGAAATTGAAAAATATGGCTAATTTAGAAGTAGAAGGTAGATTACTAAAATGCTTTTACGTTTTCAGCCAAGCCAAACTTGGCTCCGCCCTTCCATTTGATTGTCTGCAGTATTGTTTGGAAGATTTTATGTCTTATCAAAAGATATGATCGTATATTTCATACTATAAAATGTATTTACGTTCATGGGATGAATTTGATTGGGGTTATTTAACTTTAATCCTTGAAAAAGATTAAAATTTAATAAAAATGTGGTATTAGATTACATATCCATTATAGTTCCTTTACGTATCCTTAATTCAGATTAATTAATGTGTAATTTATTCAATGTCTCCCCCCTTAAATATTTAAAATTATTAATATACACATTTTAATTTATTTTTTTGTCCAAAAAAAGTTTTTTTTTTTAAATTTATTAATTTAATGTAAGATCCCACATCGCCCAGGGGAGTGATCCTTAAATGTATATTCCCATCCCTACCTAGCACGAGGCCTTTTGGGAGCTCACTGGCTTTGGGTTCCGTAGGAACTTCGAAGTTAAGCGAGAAAGGGGGCTAGAGCAATCCCATGATGGGTGACCCACTTGGAAGTTGCTCGTGAGTTCCCAAAAACAAAACCGTGAGGGAATGGTAAGCCCAAAGCGGACAATATCGTGCTACGGTGGTGGAGCGGGCCCGGGAAGTGATCCGTCCCGGGCCGGGATGTGACATTTAATCTAATATTCTTTAAACTTGAAAGACTCAATTAATGTAAATGTTAGTACCCAAATGTATGTACCAAGATATTTGTTCCGTAATGTATTATATTAAATTAATGTACCTAAATGTTAGTACCGAAATGTATGTATCGAAATGTATATACCGAAATGTATGTACCAAAATGTATACACTGAAATATATGTACCAAAATGTATGCACTGAAATGTTAGTACCAAAATATATTATATTGAATTAATGAGCCGAAATGAAATATACTACATTAAAATTAGGAAGAGAAAGAAAAAAAAATTAAAACAAAAAAAATATATAATTAATAAATGAGGTGATTAATGTATCAAGGGACTAAAATTAGATTTTGATCTTACTCATAATTTTAGTCTAAAAGTCATCTTTACTAAGGATTAAAATGAAGTTTCCTAAATTTTTCTTGAATGCACATTTTAAATTAATAATCTAATTAACTAATGAAAGAGAAATTATTGTTTTTGTTTACACAGATAAATGTAACACTTTTTTCACTCCTTATATATATGATTCATTCATAATTTCTTGCAATTAAATAACAAAATGAGACATATACAGAACAATATATCAAAAAGTTAAAAACTGATCAGAAAGAAAATTCTGCATGTGAAAATGGAATGACAAGTAGCATGTATACATAGCATTGTCATTGTACAGTGAAGTTTGGAGAAGTTTGAAAGCACGTCAATAAAAATATATAATAAAAGTTGTGAAGATGGAGAGATCTCTGTATGCGGTCAAGGATTCTTGTCACCCTTGTTCAAAACTGAACATAAACTTCTTACATATTTCTTTGACAAACATAAACATCTTCTACATCCGTATCGCAATTTACTCCTCAAATATAGCTTGCATAAAGAGAACTATACGGCTCAAGATTTGAGTACTTATAAGTTATACACACCTAGTAGATAGCTACAGTGTGAAAAATGACAACTATGAAAGTTAAATTAACTAGTGAGGCAGTGTGTAGTGTACAATTACTAAACAATTATTTTCATATATATATATTTCGAGTTTATTGCATACATTTCATATTTATATTGATGAGAAGATAATCCGAACTCAAATACAATGAAACAGACACTTTATCGACCTAACTCAAATCACAGCATAAAAATAATCTTTAACCAAAAGAACAGTAACTCACCAGTTGATGATTATGTAATTAGGAATCAATCAATTTATTCTGAAGATATCAATGGGCCCGGTATAATTATTTCAGTCAACCATTAGGTCATCATATTCTGAACCTTTCACTTATGGAAAACATGCACACTCATAACCACTAATCCAATCAAACGAAAGTTGGTTCGTTAAAACCCCATTTGATGGTTCGATGTTTTGGGTCAGATCATGAAGCAGGCGACAACTAGTTGTGATTTATTCATCTTATTGATTTTCTAGTGGGATTAAATAATGCATGTTTTGTAAACTAAATGACATGAAAGTTAATGATTGAATTATTACTTAAACGTTAATAAACGTATTCATTTCTTATTGATGATACATAATTTAATTTACAGATTTAATATATAAATGTAATCTACATGCATTTTCCACACTTAGTCTTGCTCGACCTAGCTCGCTACCTCTTTTAAATATTCTATTCAGAAAACGAAAGACGAATGCTTCTAGCTCCTAATATTACGATCTACAAAAGCAAAGACTTTGGACCAAGTTGGCTTTAAGGGCTGGCAGCTAGCTAGCCTAACTTAGCAGACCCTTGAGGATTATCAATCTTGTTAACATCTCGTAGCATGAATGCATGGTGACCAGACCAAGAGGTCTTCGTTCTAAAAATCCAAGGCGTCTTTTGGTGCATCTTTTGTTTCATTTGTAGGATTGTTGGTGATGCTTAAACTCACCAAGTCGACAAACATATTGATGTTCTTTTTACGCAATAAAGATTTACATACAACTATAAATATCATTTATATTAAAGAATATTTTGTGGATGTGTTAATTTTATGTGTTCAAATAATATAAAGTTATTACTGAATGGTGTTTCAAGGACCATAGAATCGTGGATTGTGTGTGGTCTGTCTCCTTTTGGATAGATGCTTGTGACAGTTACCTAATCCGAAAGTTTTGGATCGAGAGAGAGCGATTACTGGAGCTACTGTTGACCATGCGCGTTGCCATGCAAACGAGACTGCTCATCGTTTTGTCCGTTATGCCCTCTCCTCCCACTGTGTGCGCGCCTGGTTTAAAGAGTCACTAGATATCATTCTTGATGTTTTGTTCACTGATGGCAGCATGTAATTGTGCTGGAATCTTTTCTCAGCTTTTTGTATTTACTACTGCTTAAACATTTTACGATGAATATATATATAATGGAAGATTATATTCACACAACTCAAATTACTTCTCCAACATTTTTTTAATTTTTTAATATTTTCTATCAAGTGTTAGTGGTGTGTAGAAAATATTAAAAAATAACAAAGTATAAGAAAAGTAATTTGTAATGTGTAAATATAATTTCTGTATAATATATATATATATATATATAAATCGTAGCCTTCTAAAAAAAAAAAAAAAAAAGAAGAATTGAGGTTTCACGTAAAATCAAGAGTGGTGTGCTATCTATACACTTATTTTATTTTTTTTTTTTTAACTTTCATACATATTTTACTAATTTATGTCATTTAATTCTTTCAATTTATTTGATCTAACGATAAAAAACTGAGAAGGGTGTGTGGAACAAATAGGTTTGTGAATAACACCACTCTAATTGACAATACATCTTAGCACATGCAAAGTTTATT